AACCCTAAACCCTTATAGATCCCTTGCAGGAAGCTCTTTAAAGGGACCCTAGAGTCTACCCTAAACCCTAAACGCTAAACCCTAAACCCTAAACCCTAAACCCTAACCCTAAACCAGCTCTAGAGAAGCAGGGTTGGCGGGTCTTACTCTTCCAACCCACTGGCCTGATCCGCGACTGCACCGATTGCGGGGAGGGCCGGCTCCGTGGAGTGAAGCGGCCCTGGCACACGGTTTGGGGTTTGGGGTTTGGGGTTTAGGGTTTAGGGTTTGGGGTTTAGGGTCAAGGGTTGCGGTTTGGGGTTTAGGGTGCAGGGTAGGGCTGTAGCTTTGACTGAGGGATCTGTCTGGGACTGCAGTTCAGGGATTTAAAACAAGGTTCAGGAATGAATTATGAGATCTATACACTAGGTTCCGGAGTGACCCCTTAACAATTGTCTTTTCAATTGCAATAGCCCCTTTGGTTTGGGGGTGCAGGGTTCTAAGTTTGGGGGTGTAGGGTTTGGGGTTTTAGGGGTGTGGGAGAGTTCCTTTGCTGTGTTTGTTTGTCACCTATTTGTCGAGGTTGCCAGTACCTGGGTTTAGGGTTTAGGGTGTGCGCCTGTGGGGGTGTGTTGTGCTGCGTGCTCGTGTGTTCGTTCTACGTTGGCCTGCGTGTGTCGTAAATGGCGTCGTGTTGCGCGCACGTGGTCTCGCCAGGAACGGATTCTGACTTGCAATTACGGCCTAAACCCCAAGCCCCCACTAGCCCAATTTCGAAATAGGGTTCACCGTCGCTGGAAACTTGAGCTACAAGCTCCCTGGTCCCCGATATCTTCAACGCTCTTTAACGTATGGACCTGACTGCTTTTAACCAAATCTTAGGGATAATATGTACACATCGTTTCCATAATATATTCTACTCTATTCTACTATAGTACATTAACTTCACAACTTTGTATCATATTCTGCCGAAGATATTGTTACCGAGTATTCCTTCCTCTGTAATCGACGATGCCTTGGCCGATGAAGCCCACTTTTGCGGCGTCAGGGAGAGCTTCGGAATGTCCACCCCGCCAAGGGGGGAGTCCTAGGCCGAACTTAGCTTTCAGGATCCTACAAGGTGTTAGTTAGGGTTTAGCGTTTAGGGTTTAGGGTTTAGGGTTTAGGGTTTAGGGTCTAGGGTTCAGGGTTTAGGGTTTAGGTTGTACACTGGCTTCTGAGGGTCCCTAAGCATCACTGCATGCTGACTTCTGTCCTCGTTGCAGAAAGGCGGTTTCGGGTTCAAGACGACATGTTTGGGCTTGTGCAGAACCTATGGATGCCCTAATACACAGCAATTGAACCCTTCGTTTTCTTCCAGACCCGAAGCAACCTCCTCGTTGGGCACCGGTGCGAAACTTGGGAATCTGGATGGAAGAAGTCTTGAATTTTGTTTCGCATCTTGGGCAGTGGGGTTGAGGTTCACCGAGAGGCTTTTAAAATTGCCAAACACAAATCACCTCTGGATACACATATCCTCTCAAAACCATCCCCTCAAACCCAAGACCCATAGCCCTAAACCCTACACCGCTCCAAAACCCCCCCTCCCCTTAACCCCAAACCCTGAACCCTTAACCCAAAACCCCTAACCAAAAAGCAACCCTTATATTACCCCCCAGAGTAGCCCACAAAGGAACCCCTTAAAGCTCAACCCTAAACCCTAAACCCTAAACCCCTAAGCCCTAAACCCTTAAAGCTCAACCCTAAACCCTAAACCCTAAGCCCTTAAAGCTCAACCCTTTAAAGCTCAACCCTAAAGCCCGGCTGGGCCGAAGGCCAAGATCAGCTTCGTCGGACCAGGGCTGGAGATGGCACTGGAGCAGCCTTCTACCTGGTTTTCTAGGGTTTAGGGTTTAGGGTGTAGGGTTTAGGGTTTAGGGTGTAGGGTTTAGGGTTTAGGGTGTAGGGTTTAGGGTGTAGGGTTTAGGGTTTAGGGGGGCTTTATGGGATTAGGGCTGAGGGTGTAGGGATTATGGTTTAGGGATTGGGGTTGGAGGGTTTGTAGTTGCGGGTTTAGGGAATAGTGTTGAGGGTTTAGGGATCAGGGTATGGGAACCAAACTTTTGAGATTTAATCTCAAACCCTAAACCCTCAACCCATGATTAGGGCTGAGGCTTGAAAATTTAGGTCGTAGGGTGTAGGGTTCCAGGGTTTCAGGCGCAGATGTCGTCAACCTACAGGGCGTCAAGGCTTCAGCATCGAAAACTTGCAGATTCCAAAAATCCTTCGAAATAACGTGGGTTTAGGGTTCAGGGTTTAGGCTTTAGGGTATGAGTGCATGGACCCTCATTATACCCTAGACCTTGCACCCTTAAAGCACCTTTGTAGAACCCTGAAAGGAACCCTTGTAAACCAGGTGTGACTCGAAGAAAGCTCCCTATTCTGGCATGGTTACTTTAGGGTGTAGGGTTAAGGGTTCAGGGAATAACAGGTAGAAGAGGTGCCAACGTCGGCATTCCCACAGCCCTCAAGCACACCTGAATCAAATCCCCCAAAGCTCATAACTACCAGGTCGGCCCTCCCCTGAAACCCTCAAGAAAGGGTTTAGGGTTTAGGGGTTTGGGGTTTAGGGTTTAGGATTTAGGGTAGAAAAATATCCACGTAAAGCGTCTAACTACTAGCTTACGACGATAGTAATCTCCACCAGGCGTCGCTGGTACTCCTAAGCCCTCAACCTTGCACCCTAAAAACTTACACCCTAAGCTCTAAGCCCTAAACCCAAAGCCCTAAACCCTAAACCCTAAACCCTCAAGCCTAAAGCCCTAAGCCCAAACCCTAACCCTAAAGCCTATGCCGGCCCTAAACCCTAAATCCTAAAGACCCCCCCAAAGGCCGCCTTGAGGGGACTCCCCGCGCCATCGTCAGCCTTGCCTGGGCAGTCCTGTAAACCTCGGAGAGCGTTGACTAGGGTTTAGGGTTTAGGGTCTAGGGTTCAGGTTTAGGGTTTAGGGTTTAAAGGCTCCTGAAGGGATCTTTAAAGGGGTTCCCTAATTTGGGGGGCCGAAATGATCAGAGTGGGTGTAGATTTAGGGGAAACCTGGCAGGATAGAGATATGAGGGAAGCTTACGGGAGAACCTCATATAGCTCAGGCTGCTGAATTCAATCGTGTATTGTAGGGGCCTGAATAATTAGAACAGGGTTTTGGGGTATCTTATACTGCAATTATAATCAGGACCCCCCAAAATAGTATGGGTAACTACTTAGGCCCCTATGATAATCCCAGGTCATAGTGGGTTTGAGGTTTTGAGCCTGTGGTGTAATGTTTAGAAGCTACGTGGCAACGACGACCACCGCCACTACTGTTGATGATATAAAGCCTGCATTAACGTGAGGACCCTCAACTATGAGAACTATGGTATAGTCCGTATTATGGGCAATGCAGGAATTACATCATCAACCGTATCCACGACTGCAAACTGCTCGTGTTTGACTGCCAAAAAAACACCACCGCCACCAAACCTCAAAGCCTAAACCCCAAAACCCCAAACCCAAAGCCCATGCAGCTTTACGATGTCGGCCTAAGGGGATTGGCATAGCGATATCAACAGACTGAAGATAAAGAACCATAATGTAGGGGCCTTGATAATTAGAATAGGGTTTTGGGGGTTCCTTATTACAAATATAGTATAATATACGCCAAACCCTATTCTGATTATTAAGGCCCCCTGTTTTAAGTATCAAGATCCCTGGCCCTGAATCCAAGCAAAAAGGACCTCGGGCTTCGAGCCACCTCTCACTGAAGGCCCCGCGTGCCATGGTTTAGGGTTTAGGGTTTAGTTAGGGTTTAGGGTTTAGGGTTTAGGGTTTAGGGTTTGGGGTTTAGGGTCGAAAGTGTCAAATCCGAGACTGCTAAGCCTTCCTGCTTCGGGCAAGGGCTTCTCAGGAGCTTAGGGTATAGGTCTGAAGGCTACTATGGGGGCGTTAATTAAGTAGAACAGGGTTCCGGGGTATACTATACTATATTTATCAGAAGGAACCCCCCAAAACCCTGTTCTATTTTTTAAGGCCCCTACATTAGAGGTGGTATATTATACTCTGCTTATCATAAGGAAGCCCCCAAAACCCTGTTCTAGTTATTAAGGCCCCCAAACCCTAAACCCTTATCGTAGCCCTTATAGTATCCGTTCTAAGGAACCCTTTCAAGGAACCCAGTTCTGATTATTAAGGCCCCTACATTAGAGTTGCTTCGGGTTTAGGAACGGCAGATCTGCGCAGAAATAGCAGAAACGGAGCTGGCGAAAAGGAGGCCGAAAAGCATCAAATACCGGTTTGGGGGTGAGGGGCTTAGAGGTTTAGGGTTTAGGGTTTAGGGGTGTGGGGGTTTAGGGTTAAGGGTTTAGGGTTTAGAGTTTAGGGATTTAGGGGTACGGCTTTGCTGCATGATGTCCATTCTTGGTGACCATTGTACTATATCTACAAGAAGGAAGCCCCCAAAATAGTATTGGTAAATTATTTAGGCCCCTACATTAATGGGGTTCGTGCTCTGGCTTTTAGGGTGCATCGGGAGCCTTGAAGATGAATGGTCAGCCACGGCTTAGGGTTTAGGGTTTAGGGTTTAGGGTTTAGGGTCAAACCCTAAGCCCTAAACCCTGAACCCTAAACCCTAACCCTAAACCCTAAACCCAACATCCGCATTGGATGAGCCGAAAAACAAAGCTCCAGGATGCTTCGGTTCAAGCGAGTGCTGTTAGGGTTTAGGGTTTCGGGTTTCGGGTTTCGGGTTTAGGGAATGCAGCTGACACAGCTTTGTATGGAGATCCCATGCAGATGTAGCGTCCTCAATTCTCAAGAATTTCCCGTCATCAAGTACACAGCATTCATTTCTGAAACTAAGGGCCCCACCTTTAGACCTGTAACAGCAGGATCCTTGCCGTTGCAGTCCCTTTATAGTCCCGCGCAACAGTATGCCGCAAGATATGCCAAAACCCATTCTTCTTAGGGGTAGTTCTCTAAATTAGGGTCGCTTTTTAGGTCCCCAATATCGTACGGCTCCCGTGTACATAAGGATCCTTGAAAGGACCCTAACTAGAGAACTGCCCTTATCAACACCCCACAGTCACAGCACCCCTGTAGAACCCTTGCAAGGAACCCGATTCTCCTTCTAGTGGGACCGAAAGAGCCCAATTTAGAGAACTACCCATTTAGAACCCTTAGGGTTTAGGGTTTAGGGTTTAGGGTTTAGGGTTTAGGGTTTAGGTTCTGGTACCCTTTTAGAAACCCTCTAGAATCCCTTATAGATGCCTTTAAGGAGCCCCTGCAAGCCAGGCCACAAGATCCCAGCAGACACCCGAGGACCTGACTCCCGCTGGCGTTCTCACACTCATGGGCCAAGGCCATGGCACCGGCGGGCTGCGACCCGACGTAAAAATCGAAACCCTAAACCCTAAACCCTAAACCCTAAACCCTAAACCCTAAACCCTAAACCCTAAACCTTTCACTGTTGGCACGTATGATCGTGAAACCTCATCCGGAGTCTGCTTGCATGTTTTGTGGCCTTTCTTTTAGGGTTCCTTACAGGGATCTATAAGGGATTCTAGAGGGTTTCTACAAGGGTGAAGGGTTCTACATGGAGTTTTTCAGGGCTTGGGCGGGTGGGGTTTAGGACCATTTCTGGGCATGTGGATCCAACTGCTAGGTGCGTCAGCCCTGATTGCTACCTCGGTCAGCCCGTGTCTCCCGGGCCAAGACAACTGAGCAACATAAGCGCCCTAAACCCTAAACCCTAAACCCTAAACTGCACCCATGACGCATGCATGCGATAGGGGCTTGGGGCTGAGCGGGGTCTCGAGCTTTTTCGGGTACCCGAAATCCTTTTACAGCTGAACCCTAAACCCCAAAACCCTCGATTCTGACCCAGGCATCCGATATCGTTTAGGGTTTAGGGTTTAGGGTTTGAGGCTTTCCGATGTGGAAGTGGTTCTGAAAACAGCCCTTCACGAAGGGGGTTGTACCGGAAGTTCCCTGTGTCTTTCTACATCCGACGCATGTTTTTGCAATCTGTGACCAACTTATGTCCAAGCCTGGACAACTCCATTGGTTGATGGCGCCTGTAAAAACTAATGTAGCAGCTTGAATGATGAATGTAGTATTCTGGACTACAAAACAGGCTGTTCTGATTATGCACTGCATAAGACGCAGTTAACACCGATACCAGCAGGCCCAGACGACCTTGCAAGCACAGGCATTTTGTGGCTCTCCCGCTGAAGCTTGATGATAAGTCGCAGATTCACCATCCACCAATACGTTCCTTACTATCGGGCTTCGGAAGCTTTGGGTTTAGGGTTTAGGGATTAGGAGTTAGGGTTTAGGGTTTGGGGGCAGGAAAGGAGGGAGGAAAAAGTTCTGGCTTTGGAGCTAGCATGCAAGATTGGTGTCTGATTAACTAGGGATGGGCTCCCCTACTGCCCCTGTAGGTAATTGAATCCTTTGCCGAGGACTTGGGATGAGCTTGGGTATGTTCTTACAAAAGCCTTCTCTTAGCATTCTCTATTAACGTGTCCTCTGCTAGAGAAGGCGTTACTGATTTCAAAATGGCTTGGCTTGGTTGGGCGCCTAAACATGCTCACGACTGTAAAGCTTGGGATTCTTAAGAAAAGACTAAGGCGATAATTACACCATAAGACAATAGGGTTTAGGTCCTATGGGGTTTAGGGTTTCGGGGTTTAGTGGTTTGGGTTTAGGGCTTAGGGTTACTATGACTGTAACATATTCCCACAAATCCTATTCTAACAACTCGCGCCCAAATGCGCACTGTTTGGCTCTCCAACAAACCTCCAAGCCACCAATGCAGAAAGATCCCATAAACCCTATAAACCAAAACAACGCAAAGATCCCTAAACAAAAATCCAAGTCCAGGCTGCCGAAGGTCACGAGCTAAGGCATCGAATTTAGCTGTTGGAAATCTGGAGATGTTGAAGGACTGTTTCGAGCGCCCCGTATGCACTGACCAGACGGCGAAGGCGCGCAATGCAACGTTACCAGGCACAACAATCGTACGGCGAAAGGCTGCACGGGATTTGGTCCCAGTCAGGAGGACGCATTGCTAGGAGGAAGGACCTGACAAAGGCTGTGGCGTAGCAAAGCGATGAGGCCCGAAGGGCCCTCATAAACCTCCGGCGCAGCAGCTGCGGGGGCGGCGGCGCAGGCAGAGCCTTCCCCCGGCTTTAGCGTTTAGGGTTTACAGGGTTTATAGGGTTTTTAGGGTTTAGGGTTTAGGGTTTAGGGTTTAGGGTTTAAGGTTTAGGGTTTAGGGTTTAGGGTTTAAGGTTTAGGGTTTAGGGTTTAGGGTGGTGGAGCTCAGCCGGTACCTTGCCTCAGAAAGCGGCGCATCATCCCAGCGACACAAGCGGGATGAGAGGAAGACTGCCTTCGCCTTCCCTGGCCTGACAGGGACTTCGAAGACTGGACCGAACCTGCCTTGCCTGGCTCTGTCTACCTTAACCTACCAAAACCTAGTATTATCTGGTAGGGTCCCCATAAATTCTGTTGATTCTCATGGAAAGAAACATGGCTAAGCATGCGCTTGGGTTCAACTTGGGCCAACAACTACCAGGCAATCTCCCTATCCACCGAGAGCTTTCGCTTGAGGACTTGGCTCAGCCACAGCGGGGCAAGCGACTCTGTTTCGACAACGCGGCGGTGCACCTGGAACTGTCTGCACCGAGCCTCGCATCCTTTCTACTGCCATATATAAGCATGAGGGATCATGGTAGTTTTGGCAGCACTGGCTCAGCACCGTTTCTTCTGTTCCTGGTGTTTGGCGCGTTGGGCACGGGGCTGTTTCGTGAGAACCCTGCTGCAGGATGGCGATATGCTTCGTCCCGCTGAAAGTGTGCAGCTAGACCCTGAACCCTAAACCCTAAACCCTAAACCTTAAACCCTAAACCCTAAATGGACATGTTGATTCTCATGGACAGAAACGTAGCTAAGCATGCGCTTGGGCTCAACTTTCGCAGGCCTCGCTGTCCACAGAGAGCTTTCGCTTGAGAGCTTAGCTCACCCACTACGCAGCAAGCGACCCTGTGTCGAGCATCCGTGGATGTGGCGGGGCTTGTCATCAAGCCTCGCCTCTAAGCTACAGCTGGCGGTCTCTCGCGGTATGTCTATGTGTGCCCTCGGCTTTGTGGTGGCCCGCTTGTTGTGGCGAGTGGATTCCGTTTCGTGCAACTTGTCTCTCGAGATCGGGAACCTCATCTGCATCCAAGGCGCATGCTCAATATGACCTTTTCCGTACTCAATCAATACATTCCTGTGTTCACCGTTTGAAGGATTAGGGTTTAAAGATCAGGGTTTAGGGCTTGGGATGTTGAACTTTGGCCTAAAACCCTAAACCCTAAACCCCAAACCGTAAACCCTAAACCGTAAACCCTAAACCCCAAACCCTAAACCCTAAACCCTAAAGCCCAAACCCTAAACCCTAAACCCTAAACCCTAAACCCTAAAC